TTTTTTTTTAGTCCAAAAGCAACTTTTGGCCAAAAATTGAGGTGTTTGGCCAAACTTTTGGAAGGAAAAAAAGTAGCTTTTGAGGAGAAGCAGAAACAGTTTTAGGAGAAGACAGAAAAAAGTAGCTTCTACTCCAAAAGTACTTTTACTGTAAAAAACACTTTTGAGAAAAATACACTTAGAAGCAGTTTTTTAAAGCTTGGCCAAACACTAATTGCTGCTCAGAAGTGCTTTTCAAATTAATTAGCCAAAAACAAACTGCTTCTCACCAAAAGTACTTTTGAGAAAAGCACTTCTGAAAAAAAGCACTTCTCAAAATAAGCTGATTTTTGTAGCTTAGCCAAACGGGCTATTAATATCTAAAAAGCATTATCTTTCATGCCGAACATACCCCAAGTGATTTTTAGATATGGACAAAGGATATTCATTCATAAATGATTGACTCAATTCATCAAAGTTTGGATCGCTTGACTTGTTGAGTTATTTAAACGTGACTTAAAACGTTCTTAAAATAAAAGATACTTTTAAACGCAAAACGTAGACTTTGAACCCAGTAGGCCTTGAGGGGCTAGCTCATTTGGTGAGCTCCTTGCTTTTCACAGTAGATGTGAGGGGTCAAACCCCATAAGTATTGTAGTTTCCCCTTTCCCCTTCTATTAATGTAATAAAGAAAAGAAAATAAAAACTCAATTGGCCTCATAGCTACTACTATCTAGCTGAACTAAGAGTTTATTATGTTAGAAATAATAATTCAAGAAAGGGTAACCCATAACTCTGTATTGGTCTAAATTTTGCGACTTGGTAATGGCAGATAAACAGGATCGAGGACGGGGTCAACCACGGCGTAATAGCGGAAAGCCGTCTTCAAGAGGGTTGTAGTCGAGGACGGGCAACTGGGGTAAAGAAATAACGGTAGAATAGATTTGGAAATGAATGCAAGAAATATTCCTTTGGATATTACTTATTTTGTAGTACTTGTTTTTTGGAAATACCCCTTATAAATAGGAAGAGATAGGGAATAATGGGGGAGGGGGGATCTTCCTTTTGCTGATAAAAAACACATTGTAAAAAAGGTTGACTTGAGAGAATATACAAAAGTTGTCTTGTTCATTGATTATCTTATTCAAGTGCACGTTATTTGATCTTTGTTCACAAGATCCAAAGAAGTTGTCTTGTTCATTGATTATCTTATTCAAGTGCACGTTATTTGATCTTTGTTCACAAGATCCAAAGATTCCATAACCATCTTCACTTCTCTTCTTTCCACCTTGCTGTCAAGAGAAAGAACCATTCAAATCATACCATAATTTGGTGGTAGATTCTTTCTTATTACATTTATTGCATGTTTATGTTATCATATTTACTACTAACATTCATTGAATACAAACGTGCTAATTAACGCTGTCAAACATCACTCATGTTACCGATTTCCTACAATATTTGATCTAGAATTTATTATTTTTAACTAAGGTTCATCCTTCATTTCATCCTTAATTAGTTTAACTAAAAGGCTCAACACTTTTTGGTCAAACAAACTCAACTAGGATTCAAACTTGATATATTTTCGTTCCTAAATTAGGTTCTTTTGGTTAAGGATTTCTCCTACATAGATATAGTTGATAGAAATACTTATTCACACCTAATATTGCTAAATAAAAAAGTGTATTATACACATCATTATTTGTAATTTAAGAATTTATAACAAGGATTGATTCATTAAATGAACTTTTAAAACTGTATGAAATCACAATAAAAACTGAAAAAAGTAGTAACAATTTATTTCAAAAGCTGTTTAGTATTTTTTCTGAGCATAACATTTTTTAAGTTTTACAATAATATATAGGAGTACGACATACCTCACGAATTAAAATTAGAGTGGTAATTACACTTGGTGTAAATGGGCGGGAAGCAAAATTTACAAAAAACAAGCAACGTCATCAATCCGTTTAGAATATTTAAATAAACAGTGTCCGTCGATTCCCATGTTATACAGTGAGTAAAAACAACTCACGCGGATCGCAATCTCAAACCGTTCAATCCAAATTTTCATAAATATAATCGACCGCCTAAAAGTTACCTCCCCAAAAATTCAAAAGCACCTCCATTTTCCACTATATAAACTCCCGCCTCTCCCCATTCCATTCCCCATTACTGCAACTCCAGCAAAACCCTAGAAATCAACTTTTCTCAAATAAAATGTCAGGCCGTGGAAAGGGAGGCAAAGGTTTGGGAAAGGGAGGAGCAAAACGACACCGTAAGGTGCTCCGTGATAACATTCAGGGAATTACTAAGCCAGCTATTCGGAGATTAGCGAGAAGAGGTGGAGTGAAGAGAATCAGTGGGTTGATCTATGAGGAGACACGTGGAGTGTTGAAGATATTTTTGGAAAATGTGATTCGTGATGCTGTGACTTACACTGAGCATGCTAGGAGAAAGACTGTTACTGCAATGGATGTTGTTTACTCTTTGAAGAGACAAGGCAGGACTCTTTATGGATTTGGTGGTTAAGAACTGTGAAATCGTTGTTCACTTTTGTGTTTGTTTTGGTGTTATTGTTAATGTAATTGATTAGATTTTCGTATTAATGAAATGGAATCTTGGTATTAATCTCATTCTTGTGTCCCTTCGATTTGAATCAAAGGATATTTGATTGAATGCGAATTATAGCGTTTTTGATCCATTTGTGCATTTCTTTAGTTCTTTTTTGTTTTTTTTGTTAGTTAAGCAGTGTTTCTTAAAATTCAAGCATATAACCATTGTTTCGAGTATTTTATCAATTTTTTTCCACGAGCAATGGACCTTAAATTTTCATTTTCAATATTAATATTTTTGTTGACTGTACTTAAGCCTCTTAAGCTAGTGTTTGGAGCTTATACTTTATAGGAAATCAAGAAATTTTCAACTGGCTAGGCCAATGGCGTATTACTAGAATTTGTTTTGGTAATACTAAAGGGAATACGTATAAATAAAAACACATTGTGTCTTTCCATAATGTGTTATAAACATTAATTAGAATACTCAAAAGTCTCTTATAATGCAGTGCCTCTCAAAAGTTGCACTGTACTTGTCTGCGAAACATACAAATTTAAACAGCAATTCAATGACTACTCTCCCTCCTTTGCACTTTTAGTTGTTCACTTTTGATTTTATAATGTATTTTACAAACGGAAAAGGATTCAAAATACCCCTAAATTGTTGGAAAAAGTTTAAAAATACGGAGAAGGGTTAAAAATATCCCTCTACTATGCGAAAATGATCATATATATCCTCCGTTATACTATCTGTCCATCAAAGCCCCAGACGTTATAAAATTGGTACAAAAATATCCTTCCTCCGTTAGGACCTCCACCATATCCAATATCATCCCACATGGCCTAACGTTTTGCTGAGGTAAGCGTCATGTGGTAATGCCGCTTTACCGAGTCCGAAACTTAAATAATGATTTTTTGGACACAAAGCATAATTTTAATGTTAAAAAAAAGTTACATTAATAGGTAATTCGCAATATAATACTGCGAATCATTAAAAAAAATCAATTCGCAGTACTATACTGCGAATTGCTTAAAATGGGCCCAGCGATTTTTTCAAAGCAATTCTCACGATTATACTGCCAATTAGGGTAATTCGCAATATAATAGTGAGAATTGCCTTTTGAAAAGTTATCCCTTCTTCTTCCCCGACAGAACTCCCCCACCTCCATTAAAAAAATTTTCTCCTCAAATCTGGTCTGGTGTGGTCCCCCACCCCCGTGATTTTTAAAAAAAAAAAAATTTCGGCCCCACCCGTCACCTTAAGAGCAATGAGTGTAGGTCCCAGGCACAAGACAAGCTTTGGATTCCTTCTCTCGATCGTAGTATTCCATTTCAATCAAATTCAAAAAACTTTAATCTAGATATTTCGATTTTATTTATGTAGAAACTCGTATAATACATGCATATTTGTTTTGCTTAAAATATGTGATAGTTTGTGTTTAAATTTGTATGTTATTTATACTCGACTTGATTTATTAATTTTGGTAAAAAAAAATGTGAAATGTTGATAAATTATTGTATTTTAAATGTTATGTTTTTATTTGGTTAAATAAAAAATTAATATTATTTTGTTTGTTTGTTGTTCATATTTGTATTTTATGTTAGTTGCTTTTATATGTAATAGTGACCTTTTAACGTAGTAAACTAAATAGTCTTTTAGCGTAGTAAAATATAGATCCTTTTAGCGTAGTAAAATACAGAGCCTTTTAGTGTAGTAAAATATAAAGCCTTTTAGTGTAGTAAAATATATAGCCTTTTAGCGTAGTAGAGCCTTTTAGATTACACTTTACAAAAATTAATTATTTAATTCATTAATCTAATAAAATTGACACGCATAATAATTAAGGATAACTCGGTGCTAACGAGCCTAAAAAATCAAGCCTGGAACCCATACTTAATTATTCAGTTCAATATTAAACATAATTAATTATTTAATTCATTAAGCTAATAATATTCTAAAAATATTGAAATTGACACGCATAATAATTAAGGATAACTCGGTGCTACCGGGCCTAAAAAATCAAGCGTGGAACCCATACTTAATTATTCAGTCCAATATTAAACATAATTAATTAATTTAATTCATTAAGCTAATAATATTCTAAAAATATTGAAATTGACACGCATAATAATTAAGGATAACTCGGTGCTACCGGGCCTCAAATATCAAACCTGGAACCCATACTTAATTATTCAGTCCAATTCATGAATTTTTAATTTAATTCATTAAGCTAATAATATTCTAAAAATATTGAAATTGACACGCATAATAATTAAGGATAACTCGGTGCTACCGGGCCTAAAAAATCAAGCGTGGAACCCATACTTAATTATTCAGTCCAATATTAAACATAATTAATTATTTAATTCATTAAGCTAATAATATTCTAAAAATATTGAAATTGACACGCATAATAATTAAGGATAACTCGGTGCTACCGGGCCTCAAAAATCAAGCCTGGAACCCATACTTAATTATTCAGTCCAATATTAAACATAATTAATTATTTAATTCATTAAGCTAATAATATTCTAAAAATATTGAAATTGACACGCATAATAATTAAGGATAACTCGGTGCTACCGGGCCTCAAATATCAAGCCTGGAACCCATACTTAATTATTCAGTCCAATATTAAACATAATTAATTATTTAATTCATTAAGCTAATAATATTCTAAAATCATTGAAATTGACACGCATAATAATTAAGGATAACTCGGTGCTACCGGGCCTCAAATATCAAACCTGGAACCCATACTTAATTATTCAGTCCAATTCATGAATTATTATGTAATTCATTAAGCTAATAATATTCTAAAAATATTGAAATTGACACGCATAATAATTAAGGATAACTCGGTGCTACCGGGCCTCAAATATCAAGCCTGAAACCCATACTTAAATATTCAGTCCAATATTAAACATAATTAATTATGTAATTCATTAAGCTAAAAATATTGAAATTGACACGCATAATAATTAAGGATAACTCGGTGCTAGCGGGCCTCAAAAATCAAGCCTGGAACCCATACGTAATTATTCAGTCCAGTACTAAACATAATTAATTAATTAAATTATTAAACTAACACACACAATAAATTTTGTTTAAATTATAGTAGACGACATGGCCTTTCCTCCGCCTGCGCATCTTGGACCTGCCGAGGATCAGCTTTTAGTGTTGCAGGGCGACCATAAGTCCTCTTTTGTATGGGAGGACAGCTATCGGAGCAGCCTCTCCGCCCCAGGAGGCCCGACGATTTGTGGGAGTTCATCGCGGAGCATCCTTTCCATGGTCGCGTAGTCGAGCGCCTACAGGCTACGGGCTTCTATACGATTGTTCAGCTTGGACGGATGCAGCTCGATTGGTCTCTCATCACGGCATTGGTAGAGCGGTGGCGACCGAAGACGCATACTTTTCACTTGTCCACAGGAGAGGCCACCATCACGTTTGAGGATGTTCAGGTTTTATACGGGCTTTGCGTGGATGGACGGGCCGTAGCACTGCCCCAGTACATTAAAGGGATGACGTGTGCCCAATTTTTGGATATGATGGGGGAGTTTACTGGTTTTAGACCAGAGGGTGGCGCTGGGGGCAGTCGCGTTGTTTTGTCAGCCATTAGAGATCAAATGGTGTTTTTGCACCCAGACATTCATGGCGAGACGGAGGATCTTTGTATTGAGAGGTACACGCGGTTGGCGTTGCTCCTGCTCTTCGGGTGTGTCTTGTTCCCGGACACTTTGGGGAGTAGAGTGACTATGTGCTTTCTCCATTATCTCCAGCAGCTGGATGAGTTACCGCAGTACAACTGGGGTTCTGCTGTTCTGGCATACCTGTATAGGAGCATGTGCCGGGCGAGCATGGGCCCAGCGGTGGATATATGTGGTTTTCTGCCCCTCCTACACGTGACAAAATTTTCGAATACTCTGTTCATTACTGCGAATTGTATATCGTGAAATGACTCATAAATTTTACATCAACCTTTTCTCTTAGGTTTGGGCCTGGCAGCGGATCATGCCGTTGCAGCCACCTCTACCACCACTTCCACCCGGTGAGGCTTATCCGTTTCTCCCTCTAGCTGTTAGGTGGATTCTCCGGCGTGGGAACTACCGAGGGAGCGATGCTCATCATAATCTCCCCCTTGTCAGGGATGTGTTAGATATATTGGTGGACGGACAGGTAAAAATGTACCTACACTTGCTTGTTTTAAATTGAGTTGTGTCGCGCATACTCACTTTTATGTTATTATTTGGTAGTTTATCTGGACACCATACAGCGTCGAGTTGGTTGCTCAGCTGCCCGTATGTTGCTCAGTCGACCGGTTGCTTTGGAGCACTTCTGTCCCGATGATCTTCTTCAATCACGTTGAGTATCATGCCGCATAGCGTATGCTTTGACAGTTTCACCGTCCCCAGCCTATACCGAGGGAGCCTGGATGGGAGACCACACACTATCAGCGGGACGACCGTGGCAGCATGGACCAGCGGTATATGGGATGGCTACAACAGCAGATAGTTTATTGGGAGGAGCGAGTTGAGCGTATTCCGCCACCACCTACATTTACCCAGGAGGCCACTGTCCATCTGTATACTGAGTGGTACCGCCGTCAAACCCGACTGATAATCGGGAACCCCATTCATATACTTGACGAGCGCTACAGACCGTATGCCGGGAGGCTCGAGGCACTGGTATGTTTTTTATGTGGCTTATTATAATCTTATAATTTGGATATAGCGTTATTTAATTAATATTTTAAATGTTTCACAGGCTATTGGGCATCATCAGCTCTTCCAGTTGGGTCAGCAGATGCAGCAACGTGCCGACATCCCTGAAGTGGTTGAGTATGGCCGGCAGGTGGCACAGTTGGCTCGCCCGACACTGTTGCAGGCGAGAGATGCCGCGAGGTTGGACCGCGAGGCTCACTACGCGGCGCTAGAGGCCTACAATCGGGGTAGGGGTGTCCCGCGAGGCAGGGGTAGGGCACGAGGGAGGGGTGCCCCACGAGCCATGGGTACCCCACGGGGTCGTGGGGGATGGCGAGGAGGTGGTCCCCAGCAATGGGGCGGTGAGGCACCTGTCGACCCACATGCTGAGGGACAGGATGAGGACTTTGGAGTTGAGGCGCTTGG